GCTAGCCAGCGTAGCACTGCCGAGCCTATAAGCATGCTGCTGTTTTTTCTTCCCAAGGTGGAGAACCTTGCATTTTGGCAGCTTTTTAAATATTTGAAAATTGCTATCCATCATGTTCTCTCCTTTCCTCTCACCCTCATCACCTTTCCTCTAAAATAAATGTACCTATTTCTCTCAAACATTGCTTAGGAGGCTTGATGGTAAAACCCTTTAACATCTTTGTTACTCACCTCTGCATTGGCTCTGTTTTTCCCTCTACATCCTTCTTAAAATGCAGAGTTCAGAACTGCATCCAGTGCTCCAGCTGAGGCCTAATAAGAGCCAAGTAGAATGTCCCTAGCAGCATCTGTCTTGCATACAGTACTTCTAATGCAACCCAATGTTCCTTTTGCTTTTTTGTAGCAGCCTCTCAGTCGCTGAAACATGGATAATACACGTCATGTGATCACTGTCTACATTGGCCATGCCTACCATGTTAAATCCATTTTTCATCTGAAATCTTAAAAAAAAGTTTGACTGACCCATCCAAATACATATATAGATACATCTGTAGGCATTTTTTATTCTAACTTCCATACAGATGTATCTTTATGCCACTGCTAGCTGTTTTTGATGCCAATACAGCATGTCCACACCAGGTTTACACTGGTGTAAACTCGTGGAAAAACAACAATTTGGACAAGACCAAAGCAAATGAACTCAGTTCAACATGTCAAAAGAAAAACTGTCTCTAATCATTCAGTGTCCCCTTGTTGCTGCACCACAGCATTATTATTCAGTAGGTGTCCTCATCCCAAAAAGGAATACTTCCTGGCTCAGAGGCAGGAGTATTGCTGGAAGCCACTTGCCAGGTAGGATCTGAATGAATGTACGATGCTTATTTAAATGTGTGGGAAGTCTCCACATCAGGTGTCTAATTTCCCTTTTGGATCATGTGTTAAAAAGAGATAATGAAACATACAATTCACTGTTTTCCCACATAAGCAATCCCCTCTGCCAGTTCCTTGGGATGAAGTTTATCAGGCCCTGCTGACTTGACTCCATTCAAACTGATAAAAGCCCTTTCATTTTTGTTACCTTGGCAGCATACAATTTTTTGTGATTTATCTAGTCAGACCATGGTGTTTAAAGATATTTTTAGTTAAGTCAAAGTGAACAGAATATATCAGCTGATAGTCATGTTGCAGTTTGGATTTTTGTTTTAAATGGTGGGTTGTCCTTTTCTATTTTGTTTCCACAGCATTTAGCAAACATTCTGATATGTGCTTCTGCATGTAGATGTTGGGGGATGAATTTTTCTTAGGACTTTCTGATCCTTTAAGTGTTTGTTAAAGGTACTTTTCAGTACAATGTGATCACAAGTACAGAATCTTATTATGTATTAGTGACTTGCTATACTATTTACAACCATTTATTTGCATGGTTTTAGGCCTGTAATAGTTTTATTTACCTTCCCCCTCCCCACCACAAGTTGTTTTGCTGGAAACATTACCCAA